TCTTTCGAACATTGTTGCCAACCGTGGTACGTGTCACATAAGAGATATCAGCGATCTGTTTCTGGCTTCACCCAGTGAAAACATGCTTTCTTGTTTTGTCCCGTTTAGGATAGCTACTTGGTAAACATCTCTATAGGACGTAGAATCACACTTGTCGGAACACCGCGGACCTGATCTCTTTTGAACTATTAAACGAAATGCTCATTGACATCAACCGTATTTCGTTAATTCACAGATTCGAAACCAATGTAGAAAGAATGATGTTGCTATTTTAAGAAGCCGATATGTTTGATATCGGCTATGCCTTGTGTTATAGCTGCTGTTTCGCAAATCTGTGCTATCTGCTGCTGACCTGCTCCAGTGCCTAGTGTCGGAGAGAAAAGACTCACAGAAGGGAACACAACAGCTTTATTCCGAACAAGCGAGTGCGAGAGCGTGAGTGCATTCGAGTGCGAATGTACAACGGTCTCAAGCTATTTATTGGAGGAACATTGTCTGAAATCGGTCCAATACTGGCGCACGTGTCTGGCTTTGGAACGAGGCTGCGATGCTCTGCATATTGCGGGGGCGTTGTCTGACCTTGACCAACGTTGACTCTCGCTGTCTGGGTTTGATACAAGGCTAGGAAGCGCTGCATATTGAGGGGGCGTTTCTGTCTGGTCAATATCTAGCGGAGCTGCGAGCCTCAGTAGATTCCGGGCATTCAGTGGTTGCTCTCAGGAATGTGACCTTCCTGATACCTTGCTTCCCATTCTTCTCCAATGAATTCCTGGCGGGCTTCATAGGTATCAGTGGTTAGTTGCATTGCCACCTGTTTGATAATTGAATCGCTTTCAATCCAGTTCCCTGCATTCAATAAGCCCGGTAATTCAGGTCCCAGGTCACAATCTTCGCTGGCCTCATTGATACATTGGGTCCGTCAATCAGAACACCTAAAAGTATCGACCGACCAGTTCCGCCTCGTCGTTGCCCACTCAACCGTGCATCGTTCGCTCTATAGATCTCCCACCTATCGTGGGCATTTCAATGAGTCTGCCCAATCTCATCGACTAAGCCTGTTCATCACTTGAGGATGGCTGATGTGCTCATCCTTGTGATCGATTGAGCGTATCAAAATGCTGGCACAAGGTGCCATCAATGTTTGGGGCAGCCGGAGTATTGTACTGCGAGGCGAGATGGCTCAACTGGTTAGAGCGCGAGTTTACTGATCGGAAGGTCCGTAGTTCGAACCCGACCTCTGCCTCTCGACTTCCCCTAGCAGTATCCCAGCTCTCATGCTTCCTTCGGATAGCATGACAGCTAGGCACCGAAGGGTGTTACAGCGGAATGATATTGTACTGCGTGCATCTGTCGAAAACCACCTGTTTATTTTGTACCCAGTGTTCTGTTCGGTGGTTATGATAAGCTCGGCTTGCTATTGATGACTGGTGCATTTTTGTGCACCGTTTGCCAGAAATGAACACCTGCCACCATTTACCGGCGTGTACGCCGAATATCCATTTGGAAGTTCGGGCCGTGACGATATACTTTATGCGCCAGATTCGATGCTGCTATCTCGTCACCCCCGAGCAACGCATATTTACATTACGTTTCATGGGACATGCCGTCTTACACTATTCGGATCGTCATCTTTGTGTCGGGGTACAGGAAAACATCAACGCTGATCTCTCCTCCTGCATTGGATATATGAAGCACAGATCTTGAACTTTCTTACTGAAGTTTGGATGAGCCAAACCTACCCATTGCTTGTGGCTTCGTGCTGTCATCAACATACGCTTGATGACCTTGAGGGTTTTACTACTAGTAGCCATATCCCCTCGGGCAGTGTTGGTTTGGTGGATAAAGGTGAAGCCTGTTTGTCCCCCACTATGTGGAAACTGTTAAAACATCAGCTGATCACAATTGTTCTGCGTTGCCAACATATTGCACCAGTCCTCCGTAAGAATGCACCCAATATTCCCTCCTGTAGAAGATTTACAGGCATACTCCAGGAGCAAACATCCACTCGAGACAAACACTGTGAGTTTTCTGGTCGGCCACCACCTCCGTACAATAAATAAGGATACGATTGACATTGGTGTGAACTGATCGCTTATAGATATAACTTTCAAGCCCAACACCTCGGCCATACCACAAGATTAACAGTGATCCGTTAGCCAATAAGTTTGGAATTCTTAAAAATTTGATGGGCGGTATAGACATCATCGCCGAGGCTGAATAAATGGCTGAGTACGGAATAATCCTGGTACCATCAGAACCCGATTTCTTATGTTGTTGCCAGAAGAATAAAGGATCCACACTGGCGTCATACGATGACACCTACCAGAAGACAAGTGGCTTGTCAGTGGAAGTTGAAGTAAACGTAAGTGTTATAGGCGCCGTGGTAGAGCTATCGTTAGGCTATCATGTTGGGTGCGAGATGGCCCAACTGGTTAGAGCGCAAACTTACTGACCGGAAGGTCCGTGGTTCGAACCCGACCTCTGCCTCTCGACTTCCTCTGCTAGGCTTGGGCAACCTGGCAGTATCCCATCCCTCACGCTTCCTTCGGGTAGCATGGCAGCTAGGCACCGAAGGGTGTTGCAGCTGAACAATAAATAAAATAATACATAAAGACTATAATATCATGCCTTGCCGTTAGTCCGAATGCTGCCAGCATATGTGGTGCGGCAGGAAAGCCAAAACTGACCAACCGCGACACAGTTTCCAAGAAAGGATAAGGGCTTACACAAATGTTAGTGACACACCCGCTAGTCTAAGACTCATTACGTCCTTACCAAGACAAAGGAAACGAAATACCACTTCATACCATGCCTCTGGCGACGCTTTACTGACCTGTCCAACCGACGAGGTGGCGAGCAGGTTATAGGTAGAGTTTACAGGTCATTTGTGTGGGATGATGCACTGTGAGGCCGTCAGGCAATTAACACATGAGGTCTTCTGATGATACCGACAAAGTGAGATAGAAGAAGGCCTTGGCATGGTGTTGGAAAAGCGAAGATTCAGTCCATAACCAGCTCAATTATCCTCGTTGCACACAGCTAGAACGAAGGATTTGCTGGCAGCATGCAACCAAAACACTTGCATCTGGTTCTTGTACGCGCAATAGACGAATCTACCAAGGAGAGCCAAATTTCGGGAACATCGCTTACAGTCCAGCGCTTCTAACTGGACAGATTTCAACGGCGACGTGACATTGGCTCAAGAGTCGTCAGTGTTGAATCTGCATACGTCTCTAATAAACCAGTTTACATCTAGCCGGACAATTGTGAAGAGTATAAACTGGCACACATTCACTATCAGGCTTCATTTCGTGGCTCAATGGTATATTCTTCTACAGTGAATATATCATCGAGCCACGAAGCTGGTAATTGGATTGCACAATAAACCATACGAAGACAGGATTGCCAGTCTCAACCTATGTGACTTCTACTATCGGCGCATCAGGGAAGACCTAATTCTAACATATAATATACTGAAGACACCTAATCATCCGCTGGAAAATCTTTTTGTCCGACGTCGACCACGAACGGACAGGAGGCATAACTTTTCGCTCGCGGTACCTCACTTGAGGGTGAACTGTCGACGGAACTTTTTTGCGGTCCGTGTATGTTTCATCTGGAACTCCCTACCTCCCAATGTTGTACATTCGCCGAGTTTAACAATTTTCAAGAACAATTTAGATGCATATCTTATGTCCAAACCGAATCTGGAACTGTTTAACTCCATGTGATACTCAGCAGATATTACGCATTTTTTGCGTCCCTTTGTATATATACGTTCACCCTATGGTCGTTGTAAAGTTAATTGCTTTTTAGACCATTAAACCTTGAATTACCTTGAATTGAATTACCAGAACTCTTGAACGGAACGGCATAAACGTAGACACAGTTTGATCGAACAAGAGAATCACTGTGTGTCATGTGGTAGCGCAGTCGGCAAACGGTTACTAGCACTGCGCACCAATGATGTCTCGTTGAATGACGACTAAACGTTTACACGCCAGTTACCAAGTCAGATGAACAAACCAACTGCCACTGAACGCACCCAGGGTTAGGGCGAGATTGCCCAAGTGGTTAGAGCGCGAATTTACTGACCACAATGTCCGTGGTTCGAACCCAACCTTTGCCTCTCGACTTCCTCAGTCCAGGCCTGGGCAACCTAGCAGTGTCCTACCCAGGCTACCAATACTGAAACATAGTCCCCAGTTTACCCTCCTTCAATGTGTGTTACTTCGGCTGTATTGTAAATTTTCGGTGCTAACTTAGGATCGTTTACGCCTCTCACAATTCTGTTCACGCCTCTCTCTTCTTTCGAAAGCTTCACAGAACCTAAACAGTCATTTAAAAGGACACTAAAACTGAAAACCCTCCAATGGGTGCGTATTTTTCTAATCTTAGGCCGATCAAAACTGGTTCTGAATCAGTTCACCCAATGAGGTGACCCGATTACGTTGCTGAAGCTGCGCAGTTGAAATCTATGCATTTCTAGCCTGTACATCTGGGACTGACAAGATTGGCTTTAAGTCAGGTTGATATAAATGACTGATCATAAAACATGGTCTAGCAAACGCAAAATTTTGTTTGAGTACTCAAAACAGGCCAACAGCGAATTCTTGCTCCGATACCGAAAAAATTCGTGTTTATCAAACCCGACCACATGTTTTCCAATCACAGTTTTTCTTCTGAATCGACTAAGAAACTTGAAGGGGATGTTTGAAAAGTTGCCCCAATCCGTTTTTTTAGATTCTTGTGTTATAAACATCATGGTTGATTGTGACAAGAGCACCATCGCAAGAATAGCTTTCTGGGATATTGAATTATCATTGATCTTTGAGTTGCTGTATTCCTGGTTCCTCGAGGCATTTAGGAAGTTGCCCGAAGTCCCCATGCTGTAGCATGCCAGGAAATTTATAGAAATCTGTGCCCAAATTTACTGAATTATACTGCCAATTACCCCTCACCGATTCATGATCACCCTTTCCTGCATTTATCCCAACTAGCAATGCTTCCTCGCTTATGCCCTGAACGGTGGTTGGCTGTGCGCGCCTATCGATCCGAAATGGAAATGGCCGATAGTGACAGGGACGATAACAAATCACTGACCAACGGTGCAGCCAATGAACATCCGATTCCATTTGCCCTCCCGCTATCTCGATCCCTTGGCCGGCATCTATCCGTTCGGGAGAATGAGTTAGTCTATGTTCTTGGAAAACGGTTAGTCCTCTTCCTATTAGTTAAAACGCGAGCATCCCGGAAGGTATCTCTGCTTTTTGTTTTAACAGACTTCCGGTCGAACCTTTCAGTCGTTCTTACGGAATTCCGGTAATGGCACATTGTGAGCAAGACACATGTCCTTGCAGATCGAGTAGTCCACGAGAGTAACAGTGCTAAGTGTTTACTCGCCGCTTGTTTGCTCCGTTTCATTCAGGCAGAATGGATCGAGCGGCAATGACTTTGAAGGTCTCAGATCGTTGGGAGGGTAACTGGTTCAGAATAGGTCTAGTTTAGAAAATTCGTAAATGTAAGTGCAGATGACAGTTTGTCAAACAGCCCAGTATTCTCATACTACTCACAAGGTTGCTGAAAACTCTTCGACAGCCCACAACCGGTTTCGCCCTTCTTGAGGCTCATCAGGTAACCGGTTCGCCCTTCTTGAGGCTCATCAGGTAAGCCCAATGTTCTTTTTGTTCCCTAATTAACCGTCGCAAAATGAAACTTCAACGTTTATGATTTGCCAACTAATATAATGGTTCAAGTAATGAAATGTGGCCAAAAACCGGTTTTCATTCCGCCATCCTGAATTTATTCGGCTTTCGCGTAGAATAGTCGATCGATCGCGTTGGTAGGAATGATGCGAGGACTGGGAGGTAATCATTGATCTGTTCAGCTATTGGCTGTGTTGCGCATCTGCCAAACAGTCAGTTTTACTCACTGTCGGAACCTCTAGAGTTTACCACATACCCCTGACTTGCGGACCAAGTTTTCTGCCGCTTGTCTGCTCTGCTCGACTCGTCGAAGGTTCTCTGTCTACGAGTCGTGTATAACACTGCTTTCATAATCCAACTTACTTGATCAGACCCAGGCGTACCGTGTATTTCCAGTCCATAACTCATCCGCTCTCCAAAAACAGAAGGGTAAGTGACATGATGCAGGCGAGAACCAAAGAGCCGATGGCACCAACGCCCACTCGAATGAAACGTGTTCCGAGAAGCGTTTATTTATACCCCATGGCCCTTCGTACGTAGTGTCAGTCACGCTCAATGAGATCGTGCGACGGATTGGGTTCGTTACCAACTTTTATCTCAATCATCTGCCGAACCCTTAGTTCGTTGTTCAAACCCTGTTTGAAGGCACGGTATTTTGGCATTTTCGTCGCCCCAGCGTCTTTCTGAAGTTCTCGTTTACTTGTCTATCTCTACTTACAGAAGCTCACATCTTTGGAAAGTTGTCAGTCATCAGACAGGTCTGGTTGGATGCCTTCCAACCTCCATCCTCAAACCGTATTCCTTCGATTCGTCAGCTTCGAAGGATGGATCATCGAAGCTGGGTGATCGGACTGTCAGTGGCGGTCCACCTTCAGGTGGAAATAGCAGTGGTGCTGGTGGAACGTTACTCCCACCCAAGTCTCTGTTACGCTTGAGTCGGAGAGGTAGGTAGTGTTCCTTGACTCTCTACTTTGCTTCCCCCGATCGGTTCGCTAACTACCGTTTTTGGGCCATTTTCGTGGGGAACCACGAATTCTCTGCGTTCACCGAGAATTGTCGTTTCTGGCCTTTCCACCTCTGCGTCCGGGTCTCCATGTGATGTTCGAAAATTGACATTCTCATCAGTTATACTTGTAAATCACCAAACCTCATTTTGAAATGCAGCCGGCACGCTTTCACTTTCTTAACAGAGATAATGTTCCAGGGTAAACACCCCTCTTGACTTTGTGCGCGTAACTACTATTGAAAGGAAGAAGGCCTTCGCTGCGGAGTTATTTATTCGGAAATGCCAACTGACCGGCTACAGACCATTGAACAAGGAAGCAAAACTCTAATCTGCATCTTAGTTACAAAACCTGGACACAGATCTTCTCCCGAACGAGTCTTCCTGGAGATTCATTGCCTCCAATCATTCGTCGGTCAAATAAAAGCAAATGTTACAAAGTGGTCCCGCGAATTCCGCAACAGAATTCCATTTTTCAATCGGCGCAAAGCGAAATTCTACGAACAACACATACCACTCGCGTGCCTCCCGATCAGTTCCGGGGTAAACACCCCTGTTGATTTTGTGCACGTAACTACTATCAGTCAGTAGTTCTTGTGGCTCGACAGGTGACAGTCGAGGGTTTGCATTGAATTTCACTGTTTCTTACGGGTAGCAACACTCACTGCCTTGTCGTTGCATACCAAATGTCCATATATGGCCAAATCATACCGAACCACAGATAATTTCGCACGGGCACCAGATCTTCGAATTGCCTTTTATCTAAAGCCTCCAGTCGAGGAGTGTCACTGTTTACAAGTATGCCAGATCTCACTTCTCACAGCATTTTAGTCACCTGCATCACATGTGGTTCCTGTTTCCGCTCATTACTTGAATGTATCACCTCCGCTAACCACACGCTCTTTCACTCAAACCAGGACCTCAGAATACGTGCTCAGAGATTGCATGAGTCGGTCTTGTTGGAATCATGCACACCCCACTTCTCCCTGCCTTTTAAACAAGTGTGTGGATAGCGGTGGTCGACACGGAGAGAGAGAGTAACCGTGGCGGATTAGCATGGCTGATTCAGCCACCAAGTCAATTATTTTCCGTCTCCTGCCCCCTGGCATTTCTGTCACCAAACAGCATTAGAGTGCGTGGGTGGGATTCACCATTTCCAACCCATCTTGGCCTTATTTTCTAATGACTGTCGGTATAAATCTTGTGGTGCAATGACAGAGCAGTCCCCTTGATGTATACGTTAGTTAGCATCAAAGTTATGGCTAGATCTGTTTTCTTCCGTTTGCGAACGGGACGTGAATTGAATGGATTGATTCATGACCTCACGTGACCTGTTTATGAAGTGAAGAAATAGTTTCATGGCAGAAACTGTATATCTGAAGGTTAGTTTACATGAAAGGCAGTCTGTGGGGAGTCACTACCGGCTGTAGTAGTGGTCCTCAGTCTACCGGGAAAAGTAATTTGATGTTCAAATGCCTGAATGTAACGCAGGGCATTACCCACGGAAGTCAGCTATTCATTGTGGCAACGTTCCCTTTTGGCCTGTATCTTTATTTGCCTGATCCTAGTCCTTTCTGCACATTTTGTCCAAGACACCTGCTGAGACGAACAGTTTTCTTGATCCTTTTATGTGCACATATCGATTTCTTATTACGCCTGGTTTTTCCCCTACTCTTATTTCAACTGTCAACACTAGCTTCTCTGTCTGACTTATCTTTTCGAAGTGAGTTTTGGGTTGACTTTGTTACACGCAGTTGTCATCGCCTTTCTGTTCGCGTCCCTTGAGCTTTCTTGGCAGTTGCGTGCCTGTGGATGGACTACGCATGAGTCTTATGCCTGTTTACTCATTCTCGCAAACCGGCTTGTTTTCATTGTCTGTTTTGTTTAGCAAACGATGTCTTTTGTGTTTAACCAAAGACTTATCAACCATTTATCCTTGTGACGCACTTCCTGTCTGGCATTTTATGCAGGCTCTTTGTTCAGTAGAATGGATGTTGCGTTTCAGCCCCGTTTATTCACTCTAACGAGCACGTCACCGGAGTTGAGCTGCCTGAAGAAGATGATCTTTACGGAGCAAATCGCAACACCGGTGACCTAGTGCTCTGAGTGGACAGAAATTAACTCAGAATGGGCCGTTTATTTCACACTGGCGCTTCAAATAGCAACGTGTTAGTATATATTTGTAATGCACTACTCACAAGGTTGCTGAAAATCCGTCAACAGCCCACGACCGGTTTCGCCTTTTCTGGGGCTCATCAGGTAGCCACAGTCCAAGGGTTTCCGTCGACCTTATGTTCTACTTGAAACCAAATTGCACGAAATTGGCGAATATACACTCGTTTGCAAACTAATTTGGTTTTCCGAGAGACTCACCTGGAACCCAGCTGAATCTCTCGTTTGTGATGTTTCCAGGCAACAACTTCCCAGCAGCATGTTAGATTCGCTTAGAAGACGCTTCCTAACGTTTTTCTTAATGGCCTCAGTGGCTAGTATCAAACACTGACGATACCATTTGAGCCAGTGAAAGACAGTGTGGAGTATTTTGAAGTGGAGGCCCACGGCAGTGGCGATCATCAATCCATGATACTAGGGACGCCAACTTACAGCTAGAATTCTACTACGTTGCTGATCAAATCGGTCACTTTTTAAGACAGAAATTGTACTTACCGTTGTTCTATCTAATCCTTGAGCAGTTATATGGAACGCGATGAATGAGTATATGTCCCTATGCAAACGTTTGGCTAGCTTGGAGTTTACAAAATATTTACTTTCGGTAGCATGAACCATGAATTTTTGCCTCCGATTGCTTCCGGACCCTTTTTTGGTGTTGGAGATTCTGTTGTTCCACCATTGCCTTATGTTAGAAGTGAGAGTCTGAAAGTGTGATGCATGAAACGATAATGACAGTACCCGTACGAATGGAAAAAAGAGGCAACAGCAATGCTGTCGATCTGCACCGGCGTGTCCCGCTTCCCTGACAGTTTTTGATGGTACGTACTCGCGAGTTCATTAGGTTAATGCCAGAGTTCCAGACCGGACTGGGTTCGAGACGGTTCAGTTTGTACGGCGTGCAATTGTTGACCGGAAGATCCATGGTTCGCATTCAGCTCCGCCATCTTGGCCTGTATCAGGCGGGATTGCACGCATATCCTGCTTTACCACTCGCAGTCAGGTGCTGCTACGGCCGAGAAGCCTGTCCCACGCAAGATTGGCCAAAAATTCGGAACGCTTGACGGTCCGGCATCAAGCCGAGATCTGNGGCAGCGCCTGGATTACATGCTTGGTTGTATTCGGGAATATGACTTCAGGGTGTGCCAGGAGAAATGCACCTTCTTCAAATATATATATATATATATATATATGAAGCGCTGTACAAGTGTTCCTGATTTCGTTTTGGGCGTTAATATACCTTGTGCACCCTTGGTGGTTGTTTTGACGTGAACGCTAACTTGGGAGGCTGAGACCGAGAACTAAGCTGAGAAAAGTACTGGTACTACAGCCTGGCTTTATCTTGACCCTCGTGCTTCCCTTGAGTGGCGTAAAAGCTAAGCACCGAAAGGGTCTTACAGCTGCACGATTGTTTCTCACTGGTCAAGAAATTCGTATTTTAGATCGCTTCCTTGTTTTTTTAATGCGCTTGCGCGGGCTTTCTTCAGTTTGCGGGCCTATTGTACACCAGAGATGTGTGGTCACTTTGTTTATTATAGCTGAACATCTGGGCCACTAGCTGGTACCTAACTGTTCGATAATAGTTGTCTTTTATTGACCGATGTGTACGCGAACTAAGGATTTATATTAAATCGGGCCAATGAGACTTATGGAACTTTTCCACTCGTGCTTACTTTCAGCCTGCTTTTATTTTCTGTTTTATGGAATAATACAAGTTGGACATGCTGTTTACGATATGTTTTTTATCACTGTCTGCCTGAATGGCATTCTCGTTTGTGCCCGTTCTCCGAATTGTATAGTGCGTGAATGTTTTATAGTCCATCCACTCTGATCGGCTCAGCGTTGCGAACAAACCTGATCTAGTCACTCCCTACCGGCATTTTACATCTGTAGATTTCTTTGTTCATTCTATGGTACCAAAAAGTCAGAAACGCCACCACTATTTATTTCGCTTTATGCGACTGACTGACTGACTTGATGCACTTTGTAAATCTTTTTGCCTCCATCTTCGTAACGTACCTGACGTTATTTGATGTCATTGTACTCTTGTCTTGCTTTCCTCTCCCCGGTCGGTAACTAAAGAAACAGTTTCGCGTCTGGGCAAATTTGGCAGCTCGGTAACAACGAATACGGGTCATAATGGGACCCGAATTTCCCGACTGACAGCAGACAAGATTAGTCTCCCTCAGAATGACTTTCGTCATGTGGCACACGTGGGATCCGACGGCACCGTGTTTGGTGAAGTGGATTTTACCCAGGCGAACGGATCTCAAGGTGAGTTTCGAGGCTTGACCAGCGGTTTTCTTCCTTTGTAGTACAATCGTCCACCAATGTAGCTAAGTACGGATCAAGGCAGTTGGGACCACAGAGTCCCCAATCTTCCGAGTGCCCGAAGAATCTGACTAATCTGTACCACTGTTTTTCTACAGGCTGCGTCACAGTTGTGTGCCAAAGACGACCTTGTTTCAACCATCTTTAATCAGCTCCTCGATTTGTTTTAGATGGATTGGACATTGTGCGTTGTTCTCAAAGGGTTGCCCGGTCTCCGTCGAACGTGTCAGAGACAACGGTGAGTTCTTCATAGGTCATCCGTTATGTCTGGCATTGACACTTTCCTTTTTTACTTATATCTGTATAGCAGTAGCTTTCTTCGGCGATGGATTATAAAGCGCACTGACCATGCATCAGTTTGCATCTAGATGAATTGCTAGATACGGAACCAAATTTTTATCGGCCTTCACTGTGATCCTTTTTTGTCCTTATTTGGTCCGATGCCTGCAACCTTCCGATGTTTATCAGAATTACTCTAGGAAGAAGTATTAACTCTTCCTGCGATCTACAGGCAGTCGAAATCACACCTTGTAGTCAACTGAAGTCTCGTTTTTTGATATTCCAAAGCGGTTGATGAGCTCACATTCTAGCGGTTCGCGGAGATTGATGCTGTGGGCAAAACGAAAGTATCTTCACGCAAATCGCGTGGGAACGCGGATGTCTGATCTCTGGAACGTGGCGATTACTGATGTAGGTCAACAACTTGAACCTTTCTCCGGAAAATCCTTGGCGCTCTAATGAGCGCACGATCTCGCTATTTGCACATATCACGTCGTATTCGGTTGAGACGAATAATATCCGGTTTCATTGGTGAATACGGAAGTCGGAAATCCACTGCCAAAATTCTGAGAGTTCCAAGAAAGTGGTGCAGATATGACAGTTCCAGTGAGGTGATGATTGTCCAGGAAAAACTACGTACGGGTTGGGAAGCCTTGATCAGATCCGCACAACCCACATGTTGCCACAGATTGCCGTTAACTGTAGCTTGGTGTTTCTGTGTTTTACCCATCCAGCTCAGCTCTAAAAATCGGAACATTAGAGACCTGCCCTTCCTCAGTCCCTTTTGTCGCCCTCCAGGTGTTCTTATGAGTCTCGTCGGGTGGTGAATATATTAGGGCAGAAGGATGAATGCTACGTTTTTCCCGAAAGAATTTGACTTCTTCGCAAACTTACTCTCTGTTCGGAGCTGAGCGGTAATGTACAGCGGAGTAATTGCAGTACTTATCGTCGATTCGATCAGCTAAGTTGCGCTTCAGAATCCTCCATCCGTCCTAGCGGTCGACGAAATCTTGTGTGTATCTTGGACCCATCGTTCTCCACAATGACTCCACTGATGTGAATTATTTTCGGCTCCGCAATCGGACGTTCCCAGCAGTCTTTAGGCAATGTGCTCTGATTTTGATGGGAGGTAAACGAGGCCCATCTTGCACATGTTCCACCACGACTGCTGAGCCGGCGTCGGAAGTGTCGCTTACCGGGGACGCCGTAACCTGAACGGCGCTTCGCATCGGGGATATATTCATGGAGTAACATGGGGGTAACATGGGTATGTGTACGATCGCACAATCACGTGCAGACTACAAGGCAGCAGAAACGTGTGAAGCACAGAACCGTTGGAGCATGGGTCGCTCTCATCAGCTCACTCCGTCAGATCTGGCCTTCATTCGAGAATTCACACCGTGATTAGCACTGTTGTGCCAAGATGATGGGATGGATAGACTTTGTGACAGCTGTCATGGACATAGTTCAATGTTGTAGGTGGTTGCGGGATCTACCGTACGCCGTCGCCGCACCGCGGAAAGCCAAGAAACTAAACCATGAGCAATCAGAGCCCACTTGTTTGTGTTGAGATGCCTTACAAACCCGGAGTCTTGTGCGTGTGTGTTTTCGAAGACATTATACGTCAACATTTGGCGAAGAATGTTTGTTGATGCAGTCGACGCTGACAAACACTGAATGTGACTAGCATCATTGGAAAAATTCCAATTTGCTAATTGGTAACCTCCACTTTGTAAACGTCTTGTGATGGGCTCATCGTCGTTGGGCGAGATGGCCCATGTGGTTAGAGCGCGAATTTACTGACCACAAGGTCCGTGGTTCGAACCCGAATTCTGCCTCTCGACTTCCCGTGTCTAGGCTTGGGCAACCTGACAGTCTCCCAGCCCTCGTGTTTCCCTTATGGTGGCGTGGCAGTTGGGCACCGAGAGGGTGCGACAGCTGAACGATTTTTTCGTGCAACTTAGTAGAAAGTCCATTGGTTTCCTTCACGGTGTCCACAGTGTCAGTCTATTGTGGCTTTTGACACTGCATTCCAGCTAGTTAATGAAAGTGGTCGTAGTTGGATAGAAAAATTTTGGTCTACAGTGCTTTATTTAACCACGCTTCATTCCTCTCAATAGGTTAACGATGCTGAGTCGTTGGGCAGGCCGATAACGAGACGTGACTTTTCGTCTCCCGTATCTGAGAAGATCTCAGCAGCGAAATCAGTGCCAAAGTTGGACCTCAAGATGCAGTCCAGCACCAATGGGCAATCGAATGGTCATGCCTTGGACGATCTGTTCAAGTCCGAGACAGAGTCAGATCTTGGCTCAATGGTAAGATGTTGTCAGCCTCGTTTGCCAACCTCTCCAGCGTCGTCTGCTGAGTTTCTCGAACCTAATCACTAATTTTGTCTCCATACCTACTAGGGACTCTATTTTGGCACATCCCTCTTGGATGAGGTTTTCAAATGCTTCAGCATCGATCCAAATGAGACGGGCATTAAGTTAGAGCCGGACAGCTCTGATACCTCGTTGCCTAAGGATCAATCTGTCGGTGATGTTTTTGGAGACCGGAGTGTGCGGCATGTGAATGCTGTCCAGTAAGTCTGATGACGATCCACTATCATTCCGCTCTCTGGTGGCTTCGAAAGCACTCAACATATGGTTTTCTTGTTTTATTTTAGTACTTCCAATCCACCTGCACTACCGGATCCACCAAATCACTTGAAAAACTCCGTCTCCAACACATCCGCGGAACCATGCACCCTTCCAGCATCCCCTTCGTACCCTGTTTCACTGGTTTCTGTCGCTTCCGAAAAACAAACGGCCATCGACGGTAGGGAATCCCGGGCCCCCACTAGGTCAGCCACCACTGTGATCACTTCACTCGATGCTCCATGCATGACTCCAAGTCTCCGAACGCGTTGGAAACGTAGCACTTTTGGCAGTTTGAGAAGGCGCAGTTCGTCTGTATCCAAGGTTCCGATCAGCGCCACGACCACGTCCTATGGGTTGACTGGTACGCTAGGCCGAAAGTGTTCCGAACCTCCCGAAGGTCTAACTAGTAAGAATCGGCTCACTATTAGTCCCCCGGTCTTGATTAGTAAACCCCTGTTACCAGGTGAGCGATGAAATTGTATCCCTCCATGTATCTTGTCCTCTACGTTCATAGTTCATCGTCTATTTTTAGAATCTTCATGTGGCATATCAACATTTATTTGCTAAATCCCAACTTTGGGGGGCGAGATGGGCCAAGTGATTAGAGCGCGAATTTACTGACCGGAAGGTCCGTGGTTCGAACCCGACCTCTGCCTCTCGACTTCCCCTGTCTGGACTTCGGCAACCTAGCAGTATCCTAGCCCTCGTGCTTCTTTCGGGTGGCATGGTAGCTTGGCACCGAGAGGGTGCTACAGCTGAACGTTTTTTTTAAATCCCAACTTTTACTAACCCAGTGCATTTTCGCTCTATACTTTCTCTTCACTCCAGATCCTGTAGTGGATACGGTATCATTATGTTCACGACCGATCTCTGTCACCTCGTCTACCGTGTCCTCTGTTGGAGGCCTAAGTTCCGCCAGTCAAAGTAGTTCACTGACCATAGTATCGTCTACAAACGGCCACCTTCCATCAACTAAGGATAAACAGCCGACGGGCGAAGCGGCAAAATCTTCCGATTCCTTCACTTACGTCCGTCATGGGGTGAATTCGGGTGAAGATGGACTATCCACACACTCGTCTGTCTCACCTACGCCAAGCGTGTCTTCGTTAAACACCGTCAGTAGAAATGCGGTCATTTCTACCAATCCGACTCCCAATCTTGGACTCCGAACGCTTCGTGGAGGTGGTGATGTCGTATTTCGAGCGTCAACGTCTACAGCCAGTGGAACTCTGAGTCAACGGCGTAAGGTGATGCTATGCGGTTCGGCTGCGACAAGCTTTGCGAACGATACCAGGCCCCCGATATCGCGGTATGTCTCTCCTGGTTTTAAACTGTTTGCTTACCGAAACAGGCAATTCAAATATTTTCTAAGCAAACATCACCATATTCCCCCTAGAATCTGGGATTGAGTACCCGACTAATTATCGGGTTGACACTACTTGTTCCATCCTCTGTCCTAGTTACCTTATTATAAACCCGTCGTACGTTGACATGTTCCGACCTACAGTGCCGTGCGCGTATCCTAAGCTATACAGGACAACTCACGTCAAGAAGGGTTTGCTTGTGTGGCGGCATAGTGCCATAACAATGCTTGCAACACCAGTAAATCTGCGCGAATGGTTTGGGGCATCTCCACGATCCGAATGTACACACGCAGGCATACGATACAACGCGATTATTTTACGTAGATAACGTTGATGACGGGTAGGCGCACATGTATCTGCACATGGAAAGACAAAGGGACAACGGAGAAGCTCGTCAATTATATCGGTTTCTAGTAACAGAAGGCAAAGGTCCTTTGAAATCGGCGCTAATTCGTTTGAACGGGGGAGCGTAGCAGGGGTTGGTTAGTAAAGTTGCGGTTTGATGGCGCCAGAAACGGTATATTTTTAGATGATATCTTTCACACCTCGGAGGGAAAACGGGAAGTCTTTGGAAAGAATGAAATGACGCATGCTTGGTGTGAAAGGAAGCCACCGGACGGCATTTCTGAGTCAGAGATGCGGTTATGACTATATCTGAGGCGTCCGTTTCGACAACTAAGGGTGAATTGTAGTCATCTGTCACAACCGTAGCGTTTTCTAACTCATTCTTTAGATTTTCGAGAGACTGCTGTTTTATCTTTGACAAGCATACTAGTTTTGTCAGAGAAGCGAATAATAAGCAAATATACGAGCAGCTCAATCAGGTGAAAAATGCTTGGAACCGATTGATTCTACAGCCGCTGATAGCTGAGGTGGTGGAAATTACCAAGCATCACAGCGTGAATAGAATCTAGGGTGTGGAATTGGTGAACGGTCTTAGATAAGCCGAGTTGAAACGTGACTGTGGGGTTGTCAATCCAGTAGAATCATAAGCAAGAACAGGAGGTGGGGGTGGAAATCCCAACCCGACCAAAGTTCACAGCATCCCTCTTACACAACCATCCTAGCACTAGCTCATCCACACAAACGGACAGAAAGTGTAAACGACGTTCAAGAGGGACCATCAAGTGGATCGAACTAAAAGAACTAGATCCTGGGTTGGGCCCAAACCCATGTAGGTTTCCCACCGACCTAACACTTGATCACCCACCCTAACACATAAAATCCCTCGGCCAACACCCGACAGAGATTTAGCTTGACTTAACTGATTGGTTCTCCTTCCGCCTCAAATCTCGACCAACCTCGTAACCTAGTCACTTGGCCTGACGAAGCTTTTGTGTCAAAAACGGAACATTGCCGAGCAATAAATCTACCGGTTGTTACCAAACTTTCCCGGAAACGATAGCAGCAGCTCGTTGTTTGGATTTAGCGTCATGTGGATGATGGAGAATACGTGTAGGGCGCATTCGTTCAGCATCTGGTTTGATAACTCTTTCAGGGACTTCATAGCCGAAAAGGCGTATTTGTTTGACTGCTATGGTGCTTTTCTTGCATTAAGGGTAATTCTATATTTTTCATTACTTCATAGAAAGATTTGAGGTTCTGGGCATCCTCGCTTTGGTTATTTTCACAAATAGTGACGTTTTCAATGTAAGCGTAAGTCTCCCTTAAGTTTTCAAACTTGGCTATATGTTCACTGTAGTAACCGTATTTTCCTCAGCTTAGTTCTCGGTCTGAGCCTCCCAAGCTAGCGTTCACCACCAAAGGTGCACAAGGTCTATTAACGCCCAAAACGAAGTCAAGAACAGTTGTACAGCGCTTCGTATATATAGCGTAAGCGGTTATAACTTTTTGGAATTTCTGACGCGTTCTGGATGCGCCATTGGCAATCGGCATTTTGCCAATACTGGGTCATGATTGGCTGTTGGGTCCAGATTGTTGACCAATCAGATCTCGTCTTGTTGCCGGACCGGCAAGCCTCCCGAATTCTGGGTCAACCTCGAGCGGGCCAGGCTTCTCGGCCGTAGCAGCGCCTAAAGACGTGCGGTATAGTGGGATCCGCGTGGATTCCTGCCTAACACCTCCCCCTTGAAGTTTGTTGACGTAGCTTCGAAGCTGGGGGTTCACTTGCAGTGGCCTCACTGGCTTGCGGATCCTGTCTGTCCAAGTCGCGGTTGTAATCCGTGCTCAGGCTGGGCCTCTGACGAAGCAACTGATTGACTTTCTGGGATGATTCCGAGGTCAAGAGTGTCCAGAAGCATTTCTAGACTCATATCACTCTCCTGTGGGCAGGATCGGCGCATCTGTCGGCCAGATTTGGGTCGCGTGGCGTATCCGCTTGGCTGGACCAACTTGAATCTCGTAGAACACTTTGCCGCGCCGGCGAAGAATGAGTCCTGGGGTCCACGTAGGGCGTCTGCCGCTGTAGTCACGAACCAACACTCTCTGGCCTTCGCTGAATGCG